AAATTGGTTCCTCTTGTGTTTGGGTACTTTGATTGTATTTTGAAGTTTACAATGATTTTTTCCATCCCAAATTATGACACTAGAACTCCTATTTATAATGCTATGAGACTAACAGTTTTCTAACGTTCAAATGTCTCTCCGTCTGACACGTCATCTTTGAATGCTTGATTAGCCTTCGATTGGTCTCCATGTGTCCCTGACGTTTTGGATAACACCAGAAGACAATTACTTCAGTTTAAAACTTAAATCTGCCTTTAATCGACCTCCTTTGACTTGTCGAACTTGACAAATGACCAAATCCCTTGAAAATTCTACTAAGTCTCAGACCAGACTTCTCAGCATCGAATGTTGTTGCTTCTTCTAAAGTCTTTGGTCGAAAGGTATCTTAACTTTGCCTCGTGTACCTGTAGAAAATCCAACTAGTTTCTCTTTCGAATTCCCTCTTGTGGAATTTATTGGCTAACACAGTGGTGGGTGGTCATTTGTCACCCCCAACTGGGAGCGGAGGCAAGGCTAGTTCATGGATGCGAGGGCAGGTCCGATAATACTTAAACCCGCTCCGTCTCGCTCCGTTGTCATGCCTACTTCTATAAATTCAACATATAACAGGATCCAACACCGAATTCACCTCCAGTTCTCCTACCAAGTCGAACCATGATTCTAATATCACTTGATAAAGAATTCGAGGAAGTTGAGAGCAATAACGAACGTCCAATTCTCCAAGACTATAAGAGAGAGATGCTACATCACCATCTAAAACCTTAAGACAATAGACAAATAAATCATTCATATTATAAATCAAACATTCCACTCATTTAAATGCGATATGAGACTTAACAATTTACGATTCTTATCCTAAGATAAATATAGTAACCAAGTTGTCAATAATAATTGGATCTTATAAATGGTGACAAGATGATGATGGTTACATGTTGTATAATGGTCCATCTACCATGTTGAGTTACAGCTCTATGCTATCACTTTTTTGAAGTTTCTGTTATTTCATTTTCACAAACTCTGGCCCATTGACCCCAATATATTTTGGACCATATTGCTTTTTATAGTAAGAGAACAAAACATGCATTTCAGGATAGCAGCTCTTGGGATTTCAGAAAGACAGTGTACACTATTTCATGTATTTACCACCACCAACACAAACTGATACATCATGCTGATGTTTTTTCCTCATAATTATACAAATAAATATGACTTTATAAGTGGCCATCAATATTAATTATCATCTTATGGTTGGAGATTAAACCTTTTGCTTTTGACTCTCGTGTCATGACTAGCTCCTAATACTCATATTATAAAAAACTCTATCAAATTATTTAAATAAAAAAGAATAATTTTAGTGTGTTTTGTGAGAAAAAAAGTAAAAAAGATATAAGAGATAAGATGAGATGAGAGAGATAATGATGTAAAAGAATAATATTTTCCATTGCATGTTAGAGTTCTGTGATTTTATTTAACAAAATTTAAAGAATGGTCTTTTAATACAGTTTTAAAATGTTATTATAAAGAATTTAATTAAAATACACTAAAAGTGTATAGATGTTTTATTCAGTCAATTAATTATAACTATAAAGTTTTTGTAAATATTTAATTTAATTTTAATCATACATAAAATATCACTTTTTGATGCACTGATTTGGAAATTATTTATTATAAATAACTAACATATAATAATACGGTTGTAATAGTTTAAAAGAACAGTTAAAAGCCCAAAAACTGTTATTAAAAACATTTTTTTAGCATAATAATTGAGTTAAGAACACAATTTCATTATAAAGAATATTTTCAAAGTATTAAGATATAAATTTAAGCATTAAATAAATGAACCAAATTTATTTTATATATATAATGTTGTGTCAATCTAATAATTTTTTCTCCTAAAATCTTAAAATATTAGATATATTAATTATCTTTTAAGTGTGAGTTTTCTATATCATATTTCTAATTCAATGACCAATGATAGGTTGAATTTAAGAACCTAAATTTATTATATTTATATGCTTGAAGTATGAGGAATTATTTTAAAGACATTAAATGTAGGAATCTATTATATAACTTTTTAGTTCATTTATGTTCAATTTGATAGTGACATAATTATTATAACCCTTCATATCTCTACATATAGACTTGGTCTGAAGAAAATCAAGAGTATAAATAAAAGGGTAATGTTAACTCGTGTCCTTGGGGCACATGTTAAGAAAACCATTTATAGTAAATTTGCATTGGAAAAAATAATTTAAAATTAATTTTATATTTTAATTAAAGTTTATACACAATTTCCAAGACAATGTTTCTTAATTTAGTCCTTAACATGTGTCCCAAGGGCACAAATTAACATTACCCTAAATAAAATAGGATGTTTCACTTTTGGATAGAAAATATTCTGAGCCAACAAACAATAAGTCATCACCCTTAAAATCAAATACTTCAAGAACATGTAACCTATTAAACATCACATATCTTCCTAAATATGGGTTGGTTTAAAACATGCCTTCTAAACTCCTCAACACTTATTCTTAAATCGAAGCCACACATTGCAATTTTGGATGTGGTTGAAAATCTTGTTATGCATGCAATTTGATAGAATTACTTTTATAAATCTATACAACATTACTAGTCGAGGTTGGCGTCCACAACTTAATAATCATATCATTTCAATTATTGCATTAATCATCAGAAAAATTTGATTAGATTTAATGACACTTAGATAAATTTTGGTAGGTAACACTCCTACAGAAAATCCATTTAAAAACGGTCGAGAAAGATATATAATCACGCGGACTCAGACGTTGTTATGTAGAATGTCATTGTATATTGATATTTACAATCACAGCCTAATAACCGTTGTAATAAACTAAAAAACGCGCGCCCTATCACAACGGATTTTCTAAAAAACTGTTGTGATAAAAATATTTTTTCCTGATCAGCGCGCGAGATATTTTTTCCTGTTTTTTCAGGATCTTCACCTTTAACTTCAATTCCCCCTCCTTGGCTTTGTAGGTGTTAACCATCTCCTTCTCCTCATTCAAGTTCTTTACCAGTAAAGAAATTATTTGTTTTGCCCTAGGATCTATCTCCTCGTCCAACCAAGCAAAGTGAGAGCATTTTTTGTATCCTTGAATCTTATACATCCCATAACCATAGAAACAACGACCTGGGTTCAAATCGGTCCATGCCGTCATCAACGGAGCGTCGAGACCACACTTGCATACGTACCTTGAACAACTTGAGGACCTACTTCCATGGTATAACCGGACTACTAAGACATTTTAATGGAAGATTTGATGAAAACTTGAAGAAACTGGGTGAGAAGAAGACGAACAGTGACTGGGGGAAAAAGAAGACGAAAAACAATTCAAAAGAATCAAGAACACTAGATATAATAAACAAAAACAACAACATTAATCAACTACAATAATATAAGATATTATGTAACATTTTAAGATACACATTCTTTTAGATTAATCGTGGATGTCGAACAAATTATGAAGTTCATCTAGTTTATGAAGTTATGAAGAAGAAATATAAGGTGAATAAAGTTTACATAATAGCTTCACATTTCTTGTATTTCTCTTCATAGCTACACAAACCATATGTATCATAGGCAAAGTATGCACTTTGTTAAGGTGGTAAAGATGAATCTGAAAAAACGAGAACATTCACCAAATAAAAAAATGAGAACCCATTTTTAACAAGAAATATAAACGAAATCAAAGCATAAGTTTAATGAACGAACTTCAATTTAGAGATTGGTGAAGACGAATCTGAAGACGTATCTGAAGGTTGAAGTATGTTTAAAAGGTGACATGGATGTTAGAGTTATGTTATGAGACAGAAGAGTGAAATATGTTAGGGTTTTCTTTTGAGAGAAACGACTGTTATGTACTGAACGATAGATACTTTCGCTTATATACTAAAAAATATCATTTTTCATCACGGTTAGAAAGAAAAACTATGATGCAATTTTCAAATTTTACAACGGTTGTATTGTAAAACCGTTGTTAAATAACTTTCAAATTGTATAACGGTTGGTTTACTTCACCGTTGTAAAATCATTTACAATTTATTTTTTAAATAATGGATTTAAGTGACACATGCTTAATATACTATAAAAAATGAAAAAATATAGTTGTTGGGAATCGAAGCTTGCTACACATTATTTATTACTACGGTATTTTAAGACAACCGTCATTAAATTACTCTTTATAAATCCAACTACTCACTAGGCGCGAAAATTTTAACCTATTATAACGGTGTATATGAATCCGTTGTAAATCTGACATTGTTGTTTACACGTTTTGTAATAGTGTAACTTGAAAATATACAAAAATTTATTCATAACATATCTACCTCTCTAAAAGAACATATGTAGTTATTGATACATGAATTCACTATTTTAAAACACTTTGATATTAAATATTGACCCCTTGTACAATTCATTAAGCAAATCAATTGAAGATCTGCACAACTGCATTGGGTAAAATGTAACACATATGGGACATCTCGAGGTAAATTTATTTTATAATCGATTAGCTTAATTAGGATATCTCACAATCATAATCTTCTCACAATCATAATCTTCTTACAATCATAATCATTGTATCAAGTTTTTCAACATTAGAAATCATTAGTTTCAACCTAATATTAAACATATATATCCAAAATAATCAACATTTGAACAATTGATCCAATTTCTAAAAAGGAACAATACCAATACATAAATGGCTTCCAAAAACCAATAGCCAAATCTTCAAGTAGCTCATAATTAAAGTGTTATACCATTAGTACTACTAATTAAACATGAAGCTAGAGAGATACATTGAAACATCCCAAGCAACAATTCTACCAACAAAGTAACAACATTATTATAATACATACTATACACATTCATCCACATGCACCAAATATTAATCACTCCATGTTTGCAGAAAAAGCAAACATGGAAACTCAATTAATATAACTAGTTCATCATATTCATATTCATGTTAGTGATAATTACTTGCAAATGAAGTTGCTCCTCCTGCAAAACATGTTGTTGTTCTTTTAACAAAACGACCTTTCATTCTTGGTCTCTTTTCTGCATTCAGTTTCCTTACTTCATATCTTATCTTCTTTGCAAACAAACGTGTTCTTCTTTTCTCTCTATACCTTGATACTCTTGCTTCTCTTCCTCCATCTACATTACTTCCTATTAAGTTCCCTCTTATGCTTCTTATTTCTCCATCTACACAGCTTGAACCCTGAAATCAATATTCACAAAACACTCACATGTCAAATATTATCATAACTATCATATACATGTATGATAAAACAGTTAAGCATAGACCATAGTGGCCTAACACGATTCACTGAGATTTAGTCCTTGTCGTAAAAACACATATACATGTATGTATGTATGTACGTAATGATAAAACAACTAAGCGGAGCCATAGTGGCCTGACACAATTTGCTAAAATTTAACTCTTGTCGTAAAAAAAAACACGTATGGTCTAGTTTGGCACGATGTATTGAGATTCAGCTCTTATCGTTTCGATTATGTTTATGCTAATTTTATGTCTTTTTAGTAGTGTAAAAGAGATAAATGAGAAAAGAAAGTACCAAGAAGTTTTGCCATGAATCATCGTCGGAGTTGAACTTAGGAGGGTTTGCAGTAGTCCATGGAGAAGGAGAGCCTTGTCTAGTCCAAGCACTAATAACATCTTCATAGTTAAGTCTCAAAAACTTCTCTCTTTTAGTTTCTTCTTTAGTAATAACACTCTCACTAACACCAACACTACTATTACTCATAGGCATAAACTCTTTCTCCTGGTGTGCCATTGATTCATCATGATCAATATTCCAATGAAAAACTTCATCACTTGTCATATCAAAAACCGATTCCAAGTCATCAAGTTCTTCATCTTTAACCTTTAATATCTCATTTTTGGATGGATCCATTTCATTCTCTTGTTTATAATCAAACACTTGTCCCGACGAATTCTCATGAATCTCACTACTCCCAACACCTAGTAAACTTTCAACATTCGCTGCAAATTCAGCAAGATCAACATCAAACTCACAGAAACTATCCAAATCACACATGTCCTCAAAGTCAGCAGCATCATTTTTCACATTACAATTCTCTAAATCAAAAGGATCGACATCATAAACCGGGACGCGACACATCAACTGCTCTTCCTCCTCCTCAATCTCATTAATATCAACCAGTAATCCCCGTTCTCGATCCTCTTCCTCTTCCCCTCCGAGCTCAGGAACAAGCGGAAGAAAACTAGTATTGAAAAGAACCTTCTCCTTAAGCCGTTGTTGTTGCTGTTGAATCGACGAATTCTTGTTATGACGCGGCGTTCTTGCTTTTCTAGTAAATCCACTATGCCATGCTTTTGCAGTTGCTGTCGTGTCAGTCACCTTAGCAGACGCGGTTTGAAGCCGAACCCTTTCGTGTCTACTCGCTAACTGATTCGCCGAATGAACCAAATTGTCACAACCATGACAAAGAAAAGCATCATCAGCAGCACAAAACCAACGAGCTCTTCTTCTCAAACAGCTATCACAAGCTCTCGCTGTCTTGGCTCCCAAGGCACCAGCATCTGCACCACCACTTTTCATATCGGTTATCATAAAAAACGATATAAAAAACTCTTGAAGGTTTTTTATTCTTCCAATATAAAAAAAAATGATTTGTGTAAGTTGAAAAAACTAGACAGTGCGATGAAGGAGACACTAATGTGAGTAGGGACTGTTGTTTTTCTTCTTTGGTTGTTGCACTTTTGGTAATTTGCTACAGGAATATTAATGGAGGTTCATAGGACCTACCAATTGGTCTGATCTTAGTGTTGATTGGTTAGAGAGTTGAAGTTAATCTTATTCCATGAATTCTGATTGGTTATCTTGTTAATTATAGGATTTCTTATGGACCCATGATTTGTTTCTGCATTCAAATTTTGAGTAAGACATTTTTGTTGTGTTACATTTCATGCATAATAATTCAATATTGTCTCTATTTGTGGTCCCTATAACAACTAGGTTGCTTTCACTTTACCCTTATTTGAAGTTCTACTAAATGATTTTCATCCTATGCTATGTAAAGAAAAAAAAAGTGAAAATTGATATTGGTGTATATAGATAAATGATTGATAAGAGGAAAATGGATGTATTGTTTCCAATTGGGTGAGAGAAAGTAGAAAGCTATTGCCTATACAAAAACAAACCTTAAGTGTTGACATTCTAGGAATAAGTCCAAATAATAGTTCACCATAGAATTTCATATAAGTTTTGGTCCAGTTAAATTTACATATATATCAAAACATTAAATTGCACTGTTTTTTGCATATATAGATGACAGATACTGTTGGAGTCTGATGTTTTTGTTTCTATTTGTTTTGCATAATCATGCATAGTATGAGAAAAATATCTAACTCTTATAATAAAGATAATATTTTAGGCTTTAAAATAGCTTATAAATACAAGAATTTATATGCTTGAACCAATTGAATTTGATGATAATAATTGATGAAATAGTTTTGAAAATAAAAACTTTATAAGTCAAATGGTTTGTGGATGTTGAGAGTTCTATGTAACACTGAATTGAATTCTATTGTTAAAGAAAAAAATGTTGGTCTTATTTTAGAGAGGATTGAAAAATGTTTTTTCCTTGTTTACACTTGTATGGTTTACTAGTTTTTATTAGTTTGGTTTATAAATGATAATCAGGTAGCAAAGGTGTCTAGGGTGCAGAAGGAGACAAGTGTAGAGTTAGTGCACCAGTGTGTTTAGAAACTGTTAGTGTGTGAGACATTTTTAATGAGGAGTGTTGTGAAAAGCGATGTCTTGAAATAAAGTATAAACAGTTTTTGTATTATCAAGAAATACATAAGGGTACGGAAAAACAAGTATTTAGGAATAACAAATAACCCTCTCACCCTAATTAGGATTTGTCACACTTAAGACGAGAGACATATGCTATTTATAATAAAACTTAACATACTAAACTAATGGGCTTTTTAACAATTACCCATTACAAGCTAACTTATGGTACAAGCTAACTTAAACAATTGGACATAACAAACAGGCCCAATTCGACAACTACATACTAGAACACATTTCGACTACAACATGTAGGTCTTTGACAGCAGCATGTGAGTAGACTTTGACGACATGCTAAACCTCTATCGACAATACTAGAGTTCGATCCAATATCTCACAAATCTCCACCTTGGAACAAACTTTATAACCTCAAGAAACAAACTAGCTTTCTTCATATAGCTTTATCAACTGCGTATAGTGGAAAAACTTGCAACTGGGTAATGTCTTGGTGATCATATCAACAACATTATGATCTGTCAAATCCTTCAGCACTTGGACTTCTCCACGCTCGATTACCCTCTGACGAAATGCCGCCTCACATCAATGTGCTTGATTCCCTCATGATAGACTGAATTCTTCGACAGGTGTATTACACTTTGACTATCACATTTAACAGCGATAACTCGACCTTGAAGTTTCAGCTCCTTTGTAAAACCTTTAAGCCGCAATGCTTCCATCACAACTTCAGTTAGGGCAATATATTCTGGTTTAGTGGTTCATAAAGCAACAAAATTTTGAAGTGTTGCTTTCCAACTGATTTCTTTGCCAAACATAGTGAACATATATCTAGAAATAGATTTTCTGGAATCCATACAACCTGCATAATTAGAGTCGACATATCCTTCGATTGTTGCTTTACTATCTTCACCCAAGGCTTCACCATAAATTAGGATTATGTTCAGAGACCCATTTATGTACCTTAAAATCTACGTCATTGAAGTCGACACATTTTTTTGAGTGAAACCCCTAGCGACCAATATTTCCTTGTATCTCTTCGACGTTACTCCTTCAATTCCTTCCTTAACTTTGAAAATCCACTTACAACTGACTAACCTGACTCCAACAGGTTTCTTGATCAGTTCCCATGTGTTGCTATCAGAAGAGATTTCATCTCATCATCCACGACCTTCAGTCATTCAGTCTTATTTTGACTCCTCATAACTTTCTTATAGTCTATAGGTTCTTCATCTAGAACCTCACTTACAGAGATTAAGGCATAAGCTATAAGATCTACATACCTAACTCTCTAAGGTGATTTGATGACTCTCCTCGACCTATCTCTTGCTAGCAGGTAGTCATTATAAGTCTCCTAATCTTTGACTGCGCCTTCTGCTTCTTCTTCGACTTCATATGGGATACGCAGTTCAACATCAACATGCTCCGCCTTAACAGGAATCTCTTCCTGTTCTAGCTCTTCGTCAGCATCATCAGTTTTCTTGAAGGCCATCTCAGCTTCATTGAAAACTACATCTCGATTGGTGCTACACCTCCTGTGACCTGGATCTAGGCACCATAGCCTATAAGCTTTGACTCCTTCAGGGTATCCCATGAAGATACATTTCAGAGCTCCAGGTTCGACCTTGTCTTGCCTAATGTGAGCATAGGCCACGCATCCAAATACTCTCAAGTTGTCAAGATCTGGTGGATGCCCCGACCAAACTTCTTCAGGTGTCTTCATATCTAACACAATCAAAGGACATATGTTTATCAGATATGTTACCGTCGAAACAACCTCAGCCCAAAACACCTTTTTTAACCCAACACTAGTTAAAATACATCTAACTCTTTCTAAAATACATCTAACTCAACCTGAAGTAATTTTGTACCTTGCAATACCTGAGGCAGCACAAAAGCTGTCGAATGCCTCATTGCAAAATTCAAGGTCATTGTCAGTTCCAAACCTCTTAACCTTTCTTCCAATCTGATTTTTGACCAAAGTCTTCCAACCTTTGAAATTATCAAAAGTTTCATCCTTAGTCTTCTGGATGAATACCCATAACTTTCTGAAATAATCATCAACTATGGATAGAAAACACCTTGCGCCTGAATGTGATGGACACCTCACAGGCTCCCAAAGATCAGCATGGATGTAATCATGGTATCCATGTGTTCTTTCTCTGCCTTTATTGAACTTCATTCTACAAGATTTTCCAAGTACACATGGTTCACAAAATTTTAGTTTTTCGACTTTGTCTCCACCAAATAGATTTTGTTTCCCTAGTTCGACCAAACCCCTTTCACTGACATGGCCCAATCTCATGTGCCAAATTTCTGCCTTCGACAAAGGTTTTATGAATGTAACATTTGTCGAACCACTTACAACTTCAGCCTCAAGGGTATACAAGCCTTGTTTCTTCACGCCTCTCAAGATTTCCTTCGACTCCTTCATGACTCTTATGATACTTTTCTCTCCTTGAAAAACATATCCCTTCTTATCGAATTCACCAAGAGAAATCAAATTTCCTTTCAAATCAGGTGCATACATGACTTTATTCAATAGCCTTATTAAATCACCATAGAGCTTGAATCTCACAGATCCAATACCTGCAATTTTGCAGCTTTGTTGTTTCCTAGTAGCAACGATCCATCATCTTGATCACATAGCTCCTCGAACAATTCTCTATTTAGAGTCATGTGCCAAGTGCAACCTGAATCCATCATCCGATATTTTTTTGAGTCGTTGCTTGAAATCACAAGAGCATCAGATGATTCAAAGTCATCTTAATCAATAGTTGTGTTGCCATTATCCTTACCTCTATGATCTTTCAGGTGTTCAGGGCACACTTTTCTTGTGTGATCCTCCTTCTTATAGTGATAACACCGAATACCAGATGTCTCACCCCTATAAGACTTCTGATGACTTTTACCTTTCTTCTTGTCGAACATACCATCCTTTTACAAGAATTAACCTTCACCAATCGTTGAAGGTTTATGCTCCTTTCGTTCGTTCAAGTCCTTAAATACAAGGTTGATTGAACTTCTTCAAAGATCTTGGAATCCCTTCCATACAAGAGAGTTTCTTTGAAATGAGCATGTGTTTTGGGCAAAGCGCACAACAACAACAATGCTTGATCTTCAACATTGATCTTCACATTAATATTTTCAAGATCAAGAATCATCTTGTTGAACATATCCAACTGCTCAACCAACACTTTGTCTTCACTCATCTTGAATGAAAACAAAGCTTGCTTCAGGTATAGTCGATTTACTAGAGATTTGGTCATGTACAAAATTTCAAGTTTCAACCATAACCCCGATGCCGTAGTTTCCTTTGATACCTGTCGGAGAACCTTATCACCAAGGCTCAACAATATTGCACTATGAGTTTTCTCTATCATGGCCTTCTTTTCAGATTTCGTTAACACAATATTCATGGCTGCCTCTCCCTTCAACACTTCCAAACAACCCTCTTGAACCAGTAGGGCTTTCATCTTCAAGGGCCACATAACGAAATTGTTCACTCTGTTGAACTTCTCAATCTCATACTTTTTTAAAGACATCTTCCTCCATGCTCACTGCACCAATTTGTTATAAAAATGATGTCTTAAAACAAAGTATAAATGATTTCTTTATGATAAAAAAACACACAAGGGTTAGGGTTAATGAAAAAACAAGAAGAACAACAAGGATTGGTTATAACTTCTATTCTTTACTTTCTCTTTAAATCAAATTACAAGTACTAAAGAATAACAAATAACCCTCTAACCCTAATTAAGATTTGTCACACTTAATATGAGATACTGGTATGTTATTTA